TATTATTATCATTATTATTATTATTAATATTATTATAATTATTATTATTATCATTATTATTATTTAGGCAGTGCAGAGGGACGAGATCATAAAGTCTTGCCAGTAGTTTTTCTTCAAACTGACTTTCTCCTTCTGTCTAGGGGATTGTGACATGCCCCGATTCATACCCTTTGAACCGTTATTTAAGCAACAATGATAAATATACTGTAGTCTTCTTATACATAAATTCTGTCAATTTCCGTTCTTGGCTCTGCATCATAAATCCATAAGTCATAGTTAGACTTTTTCAATCCAATGACAAACTTAGCTAATTTAATAAATATATGTATATGAAAAAAAAACTGTATACAAATTATTAAAAATACACGTTTGAGGAATGTATATTGAATCATAATATATTCTTTACATGAAGTTAATACGCTTCCATTGAATATACTTTAAATTAACTTCAAATATTTAATATTAAAGAAATTGATAATCGTTTCACACTTTTGGATAATTTTATATATGTACATCATGATATTTTTCTAGGGGGGGGTAAAAAAATTTCTAGGGGGGGGGAAAAAAAATTTTTACCCCCCCCTACAGAATCCTTATATCCGCCCCTGTCACGGAGCATTGTGCGCAACAGAGAATGGCAACTCTCTATCGATTTGAGTCTTGTGTCCGATGTATAGCTATCGCATCCAACCGAAGATACTAAAAGAAAGAAATATACACATGAAAATAAAAAAAAAGTAAATTTCATATGCAGGTTAGATTTGAATCTCAGATGTTCTAAGTTACTTTTTCCGAGAGCTACGACGAGGTCACAAAGTCGTCTGTAATTTTTCAAAGGGGGACTTCCCCCCTTCCCCTTACTCCATAAGCCGTCCCTGAAACTTGGGCATAACATCAAAATTGCCACGTATTGGCAAAAGTAATTTTAAATGAATAGAACAGAGATTAGAATAGAAGGGAAATAAGATTATCCCTCGGTTTAAATTTGTTCAGTCCTTTTGTGTCTGGAAAGGAGTTCAAAGTGTACAATTCATGTAAATGTTCACAAATTATGCGTAGTACATAGGTATACAGTATGATTCCTGGACATATCTATTACAATTTCTTCTTTTTATAAAATTTATGCTGAAATGTACTTGGGAATATTAAGTAAAGCTTATGTTGTAGTGTGCTCGGGAATATAAAGTAAGCCTTATGCTGAAATGAACTCAGGAATCTAAAGTAAGCCTTATGCTGAAATATACTCGGGAATGTAAAGTAAAGCTTATGCTGAAATGTACTCGGGAATGTAAAGTAAATGCAATTCTTGCATCTATAAATTAGCTGACGAGCAGGTTACCTGGATTATATATAAATAGTAATCTATGTTTGTATGTACGATTATAACTCGTCAACCTCTGAACTGATTTGCCGGAATGCTTAACTTGAGAATTCAGTAAAACCACCGGTTTTGAGTTTTATTCTTGATTCGTTTCCACTTTTTGAAATTTTATAGATAAAACGGTTAAATCATTGTTAACGACATTTTAAAATCATTAATATTTTCCCAACTAAAATAATATCATAGAGTTGTTTCCATTATCTTTTTGTAATGGCAATTTAAGTTTTTGTATATTTAATTGTATTAATATATATATGTTTGTGTGTACAAATAATCATAAGACGCATTTAAACCCCCTCTGACCGCAAGGAATGTCTACCGTCTACCCTTTTAGAAAATTTAGAGCGCAGAAAGGCTAGTTTTTGACCGTTTAACAACAAACACTATTTAATTTTTATAGACATTATTTTATATTCAATTTTGATTTTTTGTTGTGAATAATTAGAAAATGTTTTCATATTTTACCGGTTATATGTTTACATAGTAACAAAGATGTCTGCAAGGTCTATGTATAGTGACATTATAAAATGCTTTCTCCCTTCCTCAGATACACCCCCCCCCCCCCTCTCCCCTACCTTCCATAGATACAGTTCCCACCCCGAATGAGGGGGATACCACCCCGGCCCTCCCCCTACATCCTTTCCTCTTGAACATCTAAAAGAATGCTATGAAGAAAACATTTAAAAATTCTTTCTTTTAATATCAGGACAAAAATGTTAAGACTGGAGTTTTTCACCAACTTAAAGGGACTGTCCTTGTAATTTCAAAATATTGAGAGTTACATCACGACTTAAAAATAAATTTGACGTTAAATTTAAAGGGAGTGTCCGGCAATGTATGGTAGTTGAACTAAGAATGTAAATTTTGTAAGATTCATTTGAGAAATGTAAAAAGTTTTAATGATGTATAAATTCTGAGTTTAAGCACAAAATCGACTTTCAAAATCATCATTATTTTGGGTGGTTTTCGCTTTGAGAATCGATTTTTTTTAAATTTATAAATAACAACGACGAAAAATGTTTTAAAAAATCGACAGTAAATTTATTAGATGTTTAGGAACATATCTTTTAATATAAATTTGTCAAAAATCAATGTTAAAATCAATTATTTCTATTTCATCATTATATTGAATTTCTTATTCCTCACGAATGTGTTCGCAGATTTCTACAAATTCTTCAAATGTTGTCTTTTCAATAAAAATTCCAGAAAATCTACAGAATTTTTTTTTTGACAATGAGACATTACAAAAACTAACAACTGAATAAGATTACTTATTTCCAATCATAAGAATTAATTTTATTTTCTAAACCTGTTCCTAAACAACTGATTAGTTCACTGTAGAATTTTGTTTACATTATTACAAAGTCCACTTTACACTTAAACTCAGTAATTATACATCATTAAAACGTTTTACTTGTCACTACATTCTCAGTTCAACTTCAATGCATTGCCGGTCACTCCCTTTAAATCTTACATGTTTTCAATCATAACTCCTGAAAATATTTCAATTTCTTGTTTGTAATCAAATAAACTTGCTTTTTTCGTTTGTTAATTGTTATGAAGGCTTCCAAAAATCAATATCGAATAGAACAAATAACATTGTTCCAAGACTTTGCAAGAAATCTAGTTAAATTAAATGTCCAACCCTTTTTCTACCAAAACTGTGGAATTCGATAGAAAATTAATTTAAAATTCGACTCGACTTTAAAATCCTCATTTAATAGTTTGATTGTATTCAAATTGTATTTTATCTTATTAAACTGAATTGGGCTTGTCCCAAACCCTACTACTCCAAAACTAAAAGTATACAGTAAGCTGGAAAAGCTTATTGCTCCATAGTACAGTTTTAAAAAATAAGAACAAATTCTCGGGCTAATTTTTACAGTCTTATAGACTTTTCTAGTCCGCATGAATTATATAGTTGTTGCCCATAAATCTACTTTCAAATTTTATCCCACGCAATGTCGTCTTTACCACCCCTTTCATCTCTGAGAAGTCCAAACCAAAGAATACTCCAGCATTCTGCCTCTACTCCGACAAAGGAAAACATCGAACTGTGAAACATTTAACTAGTGAATAATTAAATCCACGACTAATTTTGCAATCCATAGCAATTCCACTTAAACAACCGGGTTTTTATTTTCAGAAGTATTTTCCAAATGTTTTAAATGGATTCAAGGTTATAATGCAAGGAAAGTTAATTGCAGTTGCGTTTACTCTGTCTTCATATTGCAACAAGTTCTCTCTGGGTGGAATTTGTAAACAAGGATAGATGCATAAGTGTTCTTTTAGTATTTGAGGAGGTTAAGAGAATTACATTTTGATGATTTTGATAATTCACATAATAGTTTCCTATAACCAGAATATTTCATTGATTATTTATGTGAAAGATGGATCCCGTGTCAGGCTTCGACATCCGTCTTGTGTTTAAATTACCGCCCAGAGACAGTCACTTCAGTACAAAAGCTGCGTACACCTCTGAAATAACTTTTCTTGCATTATAACCTTGAACGGAACCATCAAATCCTTAAACCCCTATTCACTCCTTAATTACCCAGACACACCCAAATAACAAGTTATCTAACTAAACATTTAAAACTATTTTATACACCAATATTTATTTTACTAAAACTGTATTTTTTTGTAGGTTTAAAATAAATCTGTTTATCTGATTATTTGCAACTTTGTGTCTGAGTAGAGGAGCCTAATCAACTAATCAACTAGTCAACTAATCAATTAATCAACTAATCAACTAATCAACTAATCAACTAGTCAACTAATTAACTAATCAACTAATCACCCAATCACCGACGCCCCGCTTAAGTTTCAACAATAGTGTCTGTAATTGTATATCAATAACTTGTAAATATGTAATATATCTCAGCTTTTATCTTTAATTTAAACATATATTGTTAATATTTAGCCTGTAAACTAAAAAATACAATACTTAATTATTGTTATTATTATTTTTATTATTATTATTATTACTTATTATTATTATTAATATTATTATAATTATTATTATTATCATTATTATTATTTAGGCAGTGCAGAGGGACGAGATCATAAAGTCTTGCCAGTAGTTTTTCTTCAAACTGACTTTCTCCTTCTGTCTAGGGGATTGTGACATGCCCCGATTCATACCCTTTGAACCGTTATTTAAGCAACAATGATAAATATACTGTAGTCTTCTTATACATAAATTCTGTCAATTTCCGTTCTTGGCTCTGCATCATAAATCCATAAGTCATAGTTAGACTTTTTCAATCCAATGACAAACTTAGCTAATTTAAAAAATATATGTATATGAAAAAAAAAAACTGTATACAAATTATTAAAAATACACGTTTGAGGAATGTATATTGAATCATAATATATTCTTTACATGAAGTTAATACGCTTCCATTGAATATACTTTAAATTAACTTCAAATATTTAATATTAAAGAAATTGATAATCGTTTCACACTTTTGGAAAATGAAAAAAATTATTTTTGATTAAATTTTGATCCTCATTTCACTGTCTGTCTGGTCTGAACTCCCTTTATCCAATCCCTTTGTTATCAATTCACTCCCTTCATCCTCAATCCACTGTTTTTATCCTCAATCAACTCCCTTCATCTTCATTCCACTTCCTTCATCTTCATTCCACTCCCTTCATCTTCATTCCACTCCCTTCCTTCATCTTCAATCCACTCCCTTCATTCTTAATCCACTGTTTTTATCCTCAATCAACTCCCTTCATCTTGAATCCACTCCCTTCATCCTCAATTCACTCCCTTCATTCTAAATCCACTCCCTTCATTCTAAAATTACTCTTTTTATCCTCAATCCACTCCCTTCATCTTTATTCCACTCCCTTCGTCCTCAATCCACTCCTTCCATCATCAATCCACTCCTTTCATTTTTAATTCACTCCCTTCTTCACCAATCCACTCCATTCACTATCAATCCACTCCCTTTACCCACAGTTGGTTCCACTCCCTTTATCCTAAATTCATTCCACTCCCTTTATTCCCAACTCATTCCATTCCCGTCATTTTCAACCTATTCCACTCCATCCTTTATTCTCAACCCATTCCACCCCGTTCCATTTGATTTGAGTTTTGGGTTTGTTGAATTATCTATTTGTTGATGTTATGGCTTAGGATTCTTCGGGATAGGTTTGTTAGCTCAGCTTTCATTTTTGACCTACAAAATGAAATTATTGCGAATGTTTTGCCGTGAGGAAAAAAAATATTATCATTAAGATTGGAAATTAGGGCTAAAATAAGACGATATTCAGATATTTCTCTTTTGGCAGAGAGGAAAATTTCTGGTTTTATTATCTAGTGGCTACGTCGTAATTAAGGCACACAAGATTCACTATATACCCTAAACATTTTTTTCTAAACAAAAATGATAAAAGATGAAGAGTTCAATAATGTGAAAGAAATTATTGTACTTTCTTGAAAATTGATAAAGTTTAATTTGTTTTAAATCTACAAAAAACGTATTAAAGAAACATGAATACTCTTATTTGCAACCTGAAGGTAAAGCTTGTGTGTCTTAAATCTGTGATTAAAACGTTTGCGGCTTCTTTTCCCGTTGACGGCTTAACCATGGACGCATTATCCTTCAATGTTGAATGAGATGGGATAATCTTTCTTAATTAAAATAGTATTTAAAAGATTATTGACTGCAGTCTCTGAAGTTAAGCGATATTCAAATATAAAGTTAAATCCTCTGTTGTAGTGTTACATCTTTGATATTTTAAACTATGGCCTTAGTTTTCAACTCTTGTATTGCATATCCTTAATTCTGATTTCTAAATCTCTGTATCCACTGTAGACTCTTTTGATTTTATGCTTAATCCTCTCTTTTGGGTTTCCCTGCTGGATCTCGCGCGCGCGCAACATTCTAAAATTTCTCTGCTTCTATTCGCTTGTTCGAATTCTGCAATCAACACTGTGATTGGTTGAAACTTGAATTTCAGGATACAAATTAAAAATTAAATTAATCTTGAGATTAATAAAAAGAGGAGATCAAGCATTGATCTCAATATCCACAATTCTAAAGTTTTCATCTCTGAACAAATTATTAAAGTTTAAGCTATCAAGGATTAACACCAACTGGTTGCCAAGATATTTAAAAAATTGAGTTAAGTAATAAGTTAATTTCATTACCCTGAATATTTAAATGGAATATTCTTGTGTTTGCTTCCTTTGACCTCCTCCTTAACATCTATTGTGCCTTTACCAACTTGAGGTCCAGGTCTGGCGACCTCCCCAGGGACCTCCTTGAGGACCACTGCATCAGGTTCAAGCTTGATGTCGGTTTCAGGTGCCAGAACATATCTAGCTTTCAGTAGTTCATCAAGTTTGATTCTTAACCCGTCAGGGTGCTGGAGTTTCTCCTGCAAATATAAAATCTCAATTAGATAAAAAATCTAACATTTTGTTTTTAAATGAACTGCAGTAAACGTAATTTCAAGGGACCCATCGATCCCTGCTAAGATGACCGTTGGTCCGATTTCCAATATTACCCTTGAAACTTTGTCTGATCAAGTATAAATTAGATATCTATGTTTTTTTCTTTTGTTTCTAAACTGTTTATTTTCATTTGTGGTTTCTGTGCAAAAGTGATTTGCGCATTTCTTACTTATAAGAAAAATAATTTTAGAACTTAACACTTTTCTAGTCAGAGTTTTCTAGTCAGAGTTTTCTAGTCAGAGTTTTCTAGTCAGAGTTTTCTAGTCAGAGTTTTCTAGTCAGAGTTTTCTAGTCAGACAACGTTATCTTCCACAATTGATCAGATCGAAGTTTCAAGGTTACTGTTGTAAATAAAGCTTTGTTATCTTTGCATGGAGGTTTTTTTTGAGGTTTTTGAGATTGGAGAGTTTTTTTTTCTTACGTCCAACTTTTCAAGGCCAGCTCATTAAGAAAGATAATGGTAAGGGTGCAAGGGAGGATTTTAAAAGAGTTCAAAAAGTACGTCGGAAAAATGTTTAAAAATTATTCTTTTTTTATTTTGACACATATGGTATTACATCCATTTTTCAAGGGCTTTTTTAAATATATAAATATTAGCTCTGTAGTCTAATTAATAAAAAAGTGATTAAGCTATTTCTGAATTTTTTTGAAACACCTACCCGCCGTTTGACTGTCCTCCACACTACCCTACGCATCAAAAGCAAAAAAAGCAAAAGGAATTGAGTCTTTGCCACAAACTCTGATTTTCTAATCACTATATCTTTGGAACCAAATTTTGTGGACCTTAGATATTTCAAACTATGAGTTCTGTTAAATCAAATAATCAGAGTTTGAAATATCAAAGGTTTACAACATCGGGTTCTAAAGATATTGGGGTTTAAATATTTGATTTTGTTACAAAAAATCAATTCCTTTGTTCACAACAACAATGATGTTGATAAAGTGAAGGAAGAAGTTTAAGCGTTCTAATGTAAGCAGTTTTTAACTTACTAGCCTTAGAGGGCGCTTCGCGCCCATCTTCTAAATTAATTGTGAACATGTTCTCTTTGTGTACATCGTAAAACAAAACAAAAATAATTCGCGGATTTTCACAAAAAATTTCGTGGATTTTTAAAATTTTCAAAAATTTAATGAAGATAGAATTTTGATGGAGACAAATATTTAAAATTTAGATCATTCATAAACCTTCCCTGGGGTCCCTAGATGTCCCACAAAAAATTTGGGCCCGATCGGTTCAGCCGTTTTGACGTTTATTGGATACAAACAAACAGACAGACAAACAGACAGACAAGCCAAATTTATATATAGATTTAGAAAAATCACAAGGGTAGGGGGTGGAAAACAAGCCGTGATAAGGTTAATAGCGTTCAATATTTGGATCGGAGTCAAACCTTATAGAAATCCAACGTATAGAAATAGCTACGTATAGCAACAAGGCGTATTTTTCGGGAAAACATTTTTTATATTTTTTGAGAAATCAAACGTTTTTGTAAAACATTGTAGCTTATCGCTATCATTATCATAATTTCTATTTTTAGCATACCCTAGACATTAAAGGAGCAAAATATGTACATTTGTACTGCTCTCTATTGTGTTTAAGGTCCCCCAGATTTTATTATGAACTGACAACATATATTAATGATTATATGGTTATACATAAAATTGCGTGTTACTATTAAAAAATTATTTTATAAAAATGCTATCATACAGTTTTATTTTTAGAAAAAAAAATTCTCAAAAGTATAAAAAAAGTTCTCCAGTAATGCTAGTATGATTTCATAAAATTCCGTTTTACCATTTAAATAGAAGGATTTTATGAAAATTGTATCTACTTTACACTGATTATTTAATTTCTCAAAAATATAAAAAATGTTCTCCCGGAAAATATACCTTGTTGCTATAGGTAGCGGTTTCTATACGTTGAACTTCTATAAGGTTTGACTCCATTTGGATCACTGTGTACCTTATCAATTACTCTCTGTAAACTGGTGGACTGTCCAGCATATGTTCCAAAACCTTTAAAACAGCAAGATTTTTTTTCAAGTTATTGAAACACTGGTTTCTAGACGAGCAAACCAAAAGATTTAAAAAATAATTATTTTTGTAGAAAAAAAATAAGATGTTTCCTGTTTTTGCTGCAGATAGTAGAAGAAGAAGGAAAATCCAGATTATTTGAATCATTTCGTAGCCTACATAATATTAGGTTTTATTAATGAAATTTAAATAGTTTTCTGACTAAGAGTCGTGACGCTCGGATATAAACTTTGGTGAGAGACAAGTGTACAATGTTTATTCCGCTTTCTAAGTTATTACGAGGCTTTTAAACTCGGAAAGTGGTCATTTTAATTTGTAATCAAACTTTCGCAGATTTTTCTAATTAAAATGGTGAATTTTCAAACATAACAACTTTCGAACAGCTAAAATTAGCTACAGGAAAACCCGTCAAGCGCTCTAAGAGCACAGTATACACAGTATATATATATATATAGATTGTTGAACTCTGGAAATTTCTTTCTGTTCTAAGTCAACGTAAAATTCTTTAAAAAAATGAAAAATAACATAATATTAATAAGCAAAGCGTTCTGTTTTCTTTTTTTTTCATCTACTAAATATTTCACTTTACCTTTCTCTTTATTTTATTATCGCACCTTATTAAGCACAAGAAGTTTAAATAAAACTAAGAATTATAATTGGCCGGATATACACATTGTTTATTTTAAAGTCTAATTCTCAGGCTGAAAAAAAAACAAGGAAAATTATAAAAAAAATAATTGACCATAAAATGAATTTTTTGTAAAATTAAATTTATATAAGCAGTATGAACCTATTTAATGATGTATATTAAATAAAATCAAAAAAAAACTTTTCAACATTTTTTTTGCTAAATTTTTTCATAACATTTAGAAAAGTTGTCCTGGTCTAATTCGTGATGAATCTAGGGGTCTCCTGATTGAAATCTGAGAATAGAAGATTACATAATTAATTAATGACGAGTTTCTATTCAAATATTTTCAATTTTATTTCATTGAATTGTGATCAATTTCATTCACACAGAATTTTTAAAGAGAAATTTTAATGCATTAACGTGCATGGTACCTTTAATGATTTACTTAAAGGGAGTGTTCGCGAAGAATGGAATTGAATTAAGATTTATATGAATCAATTTCGCGTACACCAGAAAAGTTTTTATTTCCCTCCAATATATTTATAAATTGAAATTGAATAAAGATTGAATTGAGGCCGAATTTCAAGAATTTTAACCGCGTCGCTGAAACGCCAAAAACCGGTTCCAATTGAGCGCCGACTCAAATCTTGAAACACTGAATTCAATTTCAAGTGGAACCAACAATGTTTGAGCCGCATCTCAAATTTATTTAATAATCAAAAAAAAGCTTGTTTCCACTCTTTACAAAAAGGATGTATTCAAAGATAAAACCGAAATTCTTGACATAAATTCAAATCGTTGAATTCTACGAAATAGGATAGATTTCATTTTTATCAGAAGTATTTAATATTTCGAATTTCTTCCAACTTCTCCGAGCTAAAATTGTATTCTTCATCCTACCGAACTTAGAAAATTATATTTGATTTACTTTAGGGAGTTTGTATCTTGACCTTATCTATTTATCTATTCATCTGTCCATCGAACCTATCTGTCATAGCTGTTTATCCATTGATCTATCTGTCTATCCATAGCTCTATATGTCTATATGTCTATCCATTGATCTATCTATCTGCTTCCATTGATCTATATTTATATCTAACCATGGATCTTTCTATCTAGTCATCTGTCGATTCAACCTATCTGTCTATAGCTGTTTATCCATAGATCTATGCGTCTAAATGTCTATTCATAGATCTATCTGTCTATCTGTCCATCCATAGATCTATCTATCTATCTGTTCGTCCATAGATCTATCTATCTATCTGCATATCCATAGATCTATCTATCTTTATGTCTATACATAGATATATCTGTCTATCAGTCTATCTATTTATACAGACACAGTGAATGTAAAGATTACACCTCTATAGAATATAAAGAATAAGAAATCTCTCCCTGGATTAGATTAGAGTATAGATTACAGTATAGGAAAATAATAAAGAACTGATCTGAAATCATTTCTAATATTTTCTCATCCTCGACAACATGGTCTATAACGGAGAACAATCATTCAACCCCAATAAATATATTCATCTTATTCGTTGATATCCACCTAGCTGTAGTTATTCATTAAACCCCAGAAAAAAATATTCATCTTATTCGTTGATATTCACCAAGTTGTAGATATTCATTCAACCCCAGTACATATATTCATCTTATTCGTTGATATCCACCTAGTTGTAGATATTCATTCAACCCAGTAAATATATTCATCTTATTCGTTGATATCCACCTAGTTGTAGATATTCATTCAAGCCTAGTAAATATATTCATCTTATTCTTTGATATCCACCAAGTTGTAGATATTCATTCAACCCCAGTAAATATATTCATCTTATTCGTTGATATCCACCTAGCTGTAGTTATACATTCAACCCTAGTAAATATATTCATCTTATTCGTTGATATCCACCTAGCTGTAGTTATTCATTCAACCCTAGTAAATATATTCATCTTATTCGTTGATATTCACCTAGTTGGAGATATTCATTCAACCCCAGTAAATACATTCATCTTATTCGTTGATATCCACCTAGTTGTAGTTATTCATTCAACCCTAGTAAGTATATTCATCTTATTCGTTGATATCCACCTAGTTGTAGATATTCATTCAAGCCTAGTAAATATATTCATCTTATTCTTTGATATCCACCAAGCTGTAGATATTCATTCAACCCCAGTAAATATATTCATCTTTATTTATTTATTATATATTGGTCCATATCTAATCTATATATATATATTATACTTAGATTGTTTGTCTGTTTGTTTGTATCCAATAAACGTCAAAACGGCTGATCCGATCCGGCCAAGATTTTGTGTGATACCTAGATGACCGCAGGGTAGGTTTATGAATGATCAATAAATTTTCTAAGTCCACGAAATTTTTTTTCGAAATCTGCGAATTTTTTGTTTGTTTTTGTTTAACCAGAGAAAACATTTACAATTGAATTAAGAGATTGGCGCGAAGCGTCCTAAAAACCTAGTTTAGTTTAAATTCGGCTATATTTATCCATATTTAACCCTATAGATAAATCCATCTCATTCTTTGATATATATTCAGCTTTTAGTCAAGTAGATATCCCTTTAAATATTTATAAGTAAAATGTGTATAAACAGTGTTATTTTTCTAACTAAACCAGATAACTAATCTGAATATATCCGGTTAACCCTGTGAATAATCGATTGAAGGTTGATCTTTGTTGACTTTAAACTAATCAAAACGGGCGGAACAATCATTAAATTTCGATCTTATCTTTATATACTCTTACTACAAGCTGAACCTTTAGGAACCTCAAAATCCAACCTCTTAGAATTTAATTCGTCAGACCTATGTACTGCAAAAATGTTTGATGTACTGCAGTGGAAGGAGATAAAAATCCATGGGAAATCAAAATAAATATTATTTTCATATTTTTTCAAAGGTGAAATTAACCGACTGTGCATGTAATTTTCAGTGACATTTCTAGTTTCTTTTCAAGAGGGATTTGCCTGATTTACAACTGGGGATTAATCGTTTTAACGATCGTTTCGTTTTAAAAACGACAAAGAAAAAACGAAAAATAAAACGATCGTTTTTGAACAGTTGGTCGTTTTGTTCCCAAGAGTTGGTCGTTTTTAATTGTTGAAGATCTTAACGATCTTCAACGATTGTTAACGACGAATCTTCGTTAATGACCGTTAACGAAGAGCCTTCGTTAACGATCGTTAACGACCTTTTTAAGACAAAATACATTTTTTGGTTGAAAAATCCTTAGATCAGAAATTACTGAGGTCAGAAAACATTCAGGTTATTTCTCTCGATAAAAAAAACCATTTAAGACAACATTAATTAACTTAGTTTCCTGAAAAAATTTAATTACTCGTCATAAAACTATGAAAACTTAACATACTATTGTTTTTCGTTTTTTAAAAGTTCAAAACGAGTGGGTTGTTTTCAAAAACGACAGTTTTTTCTAAAAAAAAATTTCCTTCAATTGCTACTGCAAGAAAAATGCGCTAGTCACATTTGGAGAGAGAGACTACAACAATTGAAAATAATGAAGGTTTAGACAGATACACATTGATATCTGATTCATTGTTGATCATACAACGCTTTTAAGGGAACTGTTGTGCATCGGATGCCATCTCGATTACTGAGAGCCATGATAAAATACGACCAAATTCCCTTTCAGTTTCTGTTTTTAATCACAAAAACATGGAGGACCGTTCAAAAAGCAAACATCCGAAATTCGAAATCAGTAGAGTACATATAAACAAAATGGTTGGGGCGGGATATCAGAGGCCGGGGGAATGTGATCTTACAAAAATAATGTGTTATTGTGACATTGGGTGAAATAAACAAGATATTTTCTATTAGCATAGAGCTGGACAATATAAGGATCGAAAATATATAGACAAATTATTATCAAAGATTGGTTGGGCGAGTAGTCGGTCGTGGACAAATTTATATAAAAGATCGATTTGGCGAATAGTCGGTTATGGACAAATTTGTATAAAGACTGATTTGACGAATAGTCGGTTATGGACAAATTAATAAAAAAGATTGATTTGGCGAATAGTCGGTCATGGACAGATTTAGACTGATTTAACGAATAGTCGGTTATGGACAAATTTATATAAAGACTGATTTGACGAATAGTCGGTCATGGACAAATTTATATAAAGACTGATTTGACGAATGGTCGGTAATGGACAAATTTAGACGGATTTGACGAATAGTCGGTTATGGACAAATTTATATAAAAGATTGATTCTGCGATATAGTCGGTCAAAGACAAAATATATTAAAGATAAGGGCTAAAGTCGGTCAAAGACAAAATATATTAAAGATAAGGGCTAAAGTCGGCCATAGTAAAAATAAATTTACGATCGGGGCTTATAGTCGTTCTTAAACAAAATATATTAAAGATTAGAGCTAAACTTCGGTCATAGACAAGATATATTAAAGATCTAGGATAAAATTCAGTTATAGAAAGGGGTTTAAGAAGTGAGGGTATGATGAGAGGGGAATGAATGTGACTGATTGATGAATGTATACCCCCTGATCTACTCGAGGGATGGACCTGGAACACACACAACAACTAGAGAAAAACATAGAAACTTAATCATCCAATGGAACAGGATCTAAGAATATAGAATAAAGAAATAGAACGGAATCCAATATGGAATTAGCGTCAGCAGAATACCAAATGCGTCATGATTAGAAAACTGATCAATCCAGTTATTGAATATCTAGTACGTAGATGAATCATTCGTAATCAAAGAAATGCGCTAATGGAAGAGATATACTTGTAAACATGTGCTGATAGTGTAAACAATAAACATGAACTGTATGTAACTGTTAAAAATGTACAACAATTGGAACGATGAACTGCAATTAGAAAAATTTACAGCAATTGGAAACATGTGCTGAAATTGGAAATATGTACTGCCAAAAGAAACATGCAATGCAATTATAAACATGCAATGCCAGTAGACACATGTACTTTAGTTAAAAACTTACACTGCAATTGATTCAAACACTGAATTTAAGAAACTGAGTCTGCTCTATTTTTGTTCTATGTTCTGAAGTTAAGAAGACTCCATTATCAATTTATTATACAGGAGCGTGTAACTACACTTTACAGATAGAGTAGTCTGCCCAAGTGACATGTATAAACCATTTGTCGTAGTTTTATATAATTTTACATAATTATGCATAGTTTCACACAATCGTACTTACATTCACATTAGATTATATATAATTTTACATAATTTCACATAATTATACATAGTTTTACACAATTGTACTTACATTTACATTAGATTTTATATAATTTCACATAATTATGCATAGTTTCACACAATTGTACTTACATTCACATTAGATTATATATAATTTTACTTAATTTCACATAATTATACATAGTTTTACACAATTGTACTTACATGTACATTAGATTA